GAAGTAATTTTACACATTTAATGGCCACAGTAGATGCCTTTTGAAATCTCTGAAAAGGGGTGAAATTCCCAAAATGCCTGTTGAAAATTTCTTCCAAATCAGGACATGAAGTGAGGAGCTTAACTCTCATTCTCAGCATGAATGAGAGGAGGATTCTTGTGATTCTTGTGAGCTTTTAGGAGTGCCTTGAGGGATGCTGCACTCATCCTCTGTGACAGCAGAGTCAACATCTCCATCTAATAGGACAGTCACATCATTCCAATATAGGCAATAGCAAGTGTAACCTGTTGCAGAGATGTCACCCTTCCAGTCTGGCACCTCAGCATTATCTGAAGCTTATTTCATATGGAGGATTTCCTAAGGACCTTGTGCAGAATTCCTTCCCAAATGCACCAGGGAGTTTTACATAAACCAAACACTTGCCTTACGCTTCCAAAGAGAAGAAGCTGCACTACTTGAGTTCACTAGAGCTCTTGGATACTACTGTAACAGAACCAAATCATTCACAATCCCCCTTTGCTTCCTGAAGCATGAAGAGCTGCTCCGTAAGGCTCACCAGCAAGGCTGTCAGAAAGGATCACCCCTTGCTGCCAGCGCAGCTAATGCGTTGTTACCAGCTGGTTGACATACCTCTCCTGCTGATTGTTAATGCTCACTCCTCCAGACTCTTGGGCTGCTTCCAACCCATGCCACTATTTATAATCTGGGCAGCAGCTACAGGGATTCTATTCTGTTCATATTTGTCAAGACTTATGTATTTAGTTACTATACCAGATGTCAGATTTTGGACTGAAAGTACTCCATTCTCTGCTCAGCTGAATTCCTCTTCATTTCTGTTATCCCAAGACAGCACTGCTCACCATACACCTGCAGTGCAGATCACAGTGACACCTGAAGAAAAGAACTTACGTGCTCTTGAGTAACGGTAGTTCTTTGAAACCATGACTATGCTATAGTAAGAAATCAATTTTTTAAATTAATGCATTTTATGCAATGAATCCAATATTAAAACCAATAAAATATTAATAAAACAGAATTCTGCACACATTTTATTTCTGTAAATCTGAAATAAAGCTTAAGCTGTGTTTTATAGTATTGGTACTCATACAGCTTGGCAAACAATAAGCAATCTGATTCAAAAAGCAGAAAACATCTCTATTTGAACTGCTTTTGTTTCTTTGTTTCATGAAGGCATCTCTCAAAATAACTTAATTCTGAATGCAACTCATTAATGTGTGCTCCCCACCCCCTGCCTTCACAAGGCTTCTCCAGCTGGCTAAATGTGGTGACTGGAGCTTTTCGGATTAATTTTCCTTAAGTGACCTACTTTGCAGAGAAAGATAATCATGCATTTATAGCCTCTGGCACTCTATTCAGGTCACAGATGGACAGATAGCAAAGCTATTCCTCGGTGACTTACTGGGGTTGTAACTAATCCCCAATGAGAAAGCAGATTGGCCTGATGTTAATTGGTCAGAATGCCTAAAAGTATGCAAGATCATTGACTCCTACTTTAATTTTCAGGGGGTGTCACAGTTAGGCTGTATGATACCAGTCAGCAGTTGTTCTAGGAGTGGGTTTTGGTAGTGTTCTGGAGGCTTTAGGTGTTAAATATCTGACTTTGAATCCTTTGCCTTGACGGTGGAGCACCATGCAGTGTTCTGGCTGTGGAGAGGTCTGATGTTACACATGTACCAGATACCATGGCCATCACCAAGGATTGGAGATTTGAAAGAGTTTTGACCTTTTGCTTGCTAACAAGTGCTTACAATCCGTGAACAGTTGTCATTGTAAAGATAATTTTCTGTGCAATCAGACCTAAACCTCTGTTATGAAAGCTTTTTTTTTTTTAACAGCATGATCTGTTGAGTCAGTAAAACTCGTATTTTGCTCCTATCCATTCGAGGCCCATTCTCCCTCTTGTATTTGGCCCTAATGTAGTGATTTATGCAAAACAGCTTGTTCTCTTACTTTCAGATGTTCAGAAGTTTCACAAGGGAAGTGACCAGGCTTTATTCTCTGCTAGGGTATTTTTAAAAGTTTGGTGGAGCTTTTCATGCTGAGAAACAGGCAACAAGCAGGAGTGTTTAAGGATGTCTCACTTTTTGAAGGACTGTCTTGAAACTTCGAGTGTGCCAGGCAGCCAGTGATGTTAATTCTGACAGGTCTGAAGAAGTAACTGTTAAAATTGTGACACTGCCAGCGAAGGGATGGATGGCTTTCAAAATAAAACAAAACATGTATGCAGGTTGAATTCTTGCACCACAGGACTGCAAATGTGTATGTCTGTGTCCCCCAATGTATACATAGAGCTTTGCTCTTTGTACTGCAGTGCAAAACTGGAAGGTGTTCTGGTAGAAGTTGCATTGCAGTTTGGATCACTTTGATCACTGCATAAGAGTTCATATTTCATGTGCTTCCTAGAGCAAGTAATCTCAGAACACATGAGGAATGATTTGGTTTTGGTTTAGGTATTTAGAACTGTTAAGACAACCTGACAGAGCTGTGTGTGTATATCCTGTGATAGAATCTAATGCACTGAGGGCAAAATCAATTCCTTTTAGCAAAAAGCCTTTCAGACAGGAATTAAGTAAAAGGTTTTAGAGAGAATGAGTATGTGCAGCCTTCCCATACCTATCCTGAGGGTCTGTAGTGCAGCTGTTCCACCACCAAAATTCTGTCCAGGGGTTCTAGCAGTTGTAGGGAGCCCTCTGAATTTTCCACACGTGTCCTTCAGCTTCTGGATCTGTGTGTTCCCTCTCCCGGCTGTTAGTCCCAACATCTTCTCTTCCAAGTGAGAATTCTCATTGTGTCTGAACCGTATGTTGCTCATTGTTTCCTCTGAAAGTGTTGATAAATTTGAACTAACGTAGTTCTACAGATATAGGCATCAATGCAGATACTCTTAGTCTAGCTTTAGAACAGACTGCTATAGGTGTGCTTTTATCTGGTCCTAAAATAATCAATCTAAATCCAAATAAATCCAGTTTTAACCAAAATAATCCACAAAGCGTAACTTTATTTTTTTTCTTTTTTAGTTTGTCAAGAAAGTATTTGAAAAAACTAAGTCAGCACTGATAGGCTTGGTTGTGGGCTATTTTAATGAAATTACAATTTTATTAAACAAAAAATTCATGTAGTTGGTTCTGTGTTTCCTGATATGATATCCATCACATAGTTGTATTTGTCAGAGAATGCGGAGTTTTGTAAGAAGAAACAGGATAAGTCTAAATAGTTGGGAAGTCATTGTGTGTTATCAGATACGAAACTAGACTAATTTAAGTAGTATATTATGAATATGATAATGAACTAGATTTTTTTAGCATGTTTTTTATGGATTTTGTTGATCTGCTGTGCTACTGTAAGTGAAAAGTAAATCTGATTAGAGAAACAGAAGAGTAGACATTGTTACAGAAATTTGTTCTCATTTTCTTTAATATGTGAGTCAATGTTCCCTGATAAAGTATGATTATAGTTATTTTAGTTTAGTCATCTAAGATTTAAGATTTCCAGCAGTGAACTTCTAAATAGTTGAATAGATCATGAAATGCTAGAGCAATTTGAAAGAACCACTATTCCTCTACTGAAAGAACTTGTATTCCTGTTCAAGGGGATGAAGCAGCATATTTGGAAGAAAATGCTGGAGCATGGAAGAATCAGACATCATGTTTTAGCGAAACAGTAGTTGTGATCTGACTTGGTAATGAACATTCCTTGGTGGCTGGTTGATTTTAAACACCTAAGGAGCATTTATAGGAGTAATAATGTTTTTGAAATATGCTTTGGTGGGATGGGCTGTGCATATGCACGAAATGGAAAAAAGAAACTTGGTGGACAAAATGGTGGCAGAATGTTTCATTGTTCATATGTACGAAGTTCAAATAGACCTATAAACTTACACACAAAATAGTAATAATTTATAATTAAATCAAGCATATTAAAATATACTTGTTATAATAAATAACTAATTATAATAATTCCTCATAATTCATCACAAACCTATATACAAAATCATTTTGGCCAGAGTTACAGATCTTTGGTTTTCAATGATGCCTTTAATAGTAAGCTAATTAGACAAAATGAATTTTTTTGTGTGTGTATTATCCATATAGGTGTGCAATTCACGTGCTGTTAGCATTATACAAGTAAACATTAATGAGCTATTTGCATACTAATACATTCACCTGATGTGTCTGAGATGTTTTACCCTTGCATACTGAGTGCAAAGATAGGGTCTGTGGATGATGGCAAACTAATTACCTGTGAAAATTAAAGCCCTGTGTTTGCTCAGAGAATAACTAAATTGTGGGCAAGGATTGTTCTTCCATATGCTACTTCAGTAAACCCCAGCATCGGCTTCCTCTTTGCAATAAAGCAATAATATCTCTGCGCTCCTTGATCTTTAGTCTGTTTGCTGATATTACTGAGGAAAGGTATATTAATAGTATTATGGTGCTGAAATTCAAGATCTTTGAGTTTGCAAATACAAATTAAATATGGTATTTAACAAAGAAAGTATCTTTCAGGGATAGAAGGCTTGCATTAAGACAACTAAGCTGTAGTTCCAAAGCACTACATTAGCTGTCTTTAATCAAGTTGGTGACAAATCTTTTTCTACAATATATTTCATAAAGTAGTAGATTAAAAAAGCTCTTTCACGCAATACATGTATGTTAAAATAGTGACTAATCATATACTTATTCTAGAATGTTGCTTTTGGGAAGCTGATGTGTATTTCATCATCCTTAACGTTTTATTAAAAAAAAATACCCTGTTGAACTGGGAGGGTGGAGGTTGTTTTCCAATAATGATATACCTATATTTTCTGAATTTATAGTTTTGCTGATTTGAACATTTGGATTCTCATTTGGACATTCAATCATAGGATTTTTGCATAATTGTATTTTTCCTGGATATTTTGAAAAAAAATTACAAGATATTTTAAGGAAAAAAAAGGAAGAGATCTGGGGGCTCTGACCATTCTCATTCTGTCTGTGCAGTTCGACAATCAGCAAGCATTGGGAGGCAGAACTGGCCACGCTCAAGGGTAATAACGCTAAGCTCACAGCAGCCCTGCTGGAGTCCACTGCCAACGTAAAACAATGGAAACAACAACTTGCTGCGTATCAGGAGGAAGCAGAACGTCTTCACAAGCGGGTAAGTGGAGGCAAACGGCCAACATCCTTGAGGCAGAAGTACTGGTGACTATATTCGCTCATTTTCAAGTAAAACAAGTAAGTTTATTGTTGGGGTTTTAGATTAATCTTTGAGATAGACATTAATGATTACTTTAAAGCACACAGGGTTCCTCCATTGGGAGGTTCTTTCCTTTGTAGCAGTTCTTTTTCTGCAAAGGGTATTGTTGCAGGAAGAGTTATCTAACCTGATGACATGTTTGCTAGCTTTCACTCTTCAGTTGGTGCCATCGCATCTGTTTCGGGACCTTCTCCATAGCATTACACTTTAGTCCCTCTTGCATTTAAGCCCAGAGAAACTTGACATCAAATCTGTAATTTAGAGAAACCCTGTTGTAGTTTCCATATATAACAAAGACGAACAGCTTCCTCTCATCCCTGCACTTAAAGAAAACTGAACATAGATTGAAGATCATTATATGCAATTAGAGATCTGCTCCTGCTTTCACACAGGAGGGGTGTGAAAGGGTCCTGTTCCTTTCACTGTAAATTTTGCAGAGGTCATTTGGCAAACCAGAAATTAGTGCACAGTGGGGGAAGGAATGACAGTGTTTGAGAGAGGAATAAAGCAAGCAAGGTTGAAGGCTGCATTATAAAAACAAGTATACAATGTTTTCATTTCTCTTTTCACTTGTAACTCCATATATTCTATAATCTATTCACGTTTATCCATATGAATTTGTCATCATAGCTTAGGACACATTTTTGTGCAGAGTGAAGGCAAGATTAGCACATGTACAGTGGGAAGAATAACTTAGAAAAATATCAAGGAGATGTACTTCATAAGGAAAATAAAAACAAACAAAAGCATTGCTTTTTTGGCTGAAAACAGCTTTCATGAATATGCTGACAAGAAGTGAAAGGTCTAGTAGCAAGCATGGCAGACTTTTAATTTGGTTTTGTATGCTGTACTCATCTACAAGAAGTAAGGTATGGCAATTTTAGTTAACTAAATCCTGCAAATTGTGAAGGGTTCTTTCAGACCCATGCTGGACCTGTTCAGCTGCAGGCTGTTAGTAGTCTGAAGAACAAGGCTCACATTCATCTGAGGGGGGGAGAAATTCAGCAGGCTGCATCTAACCTGGGGATGTGGAAGAGTAGCAGGATTTCCCTTGAGCCTGAGAAACCTGGGGAAATGGCAGGTTGGTGGGGCTGTCCTATACCTACGCTGACTTGCAGACAAGGATCCTGAAGTCCCAGCCAAATGATTTGATAGGCAAGAAGGACAATTTCTGATGGAGTGTAACTGTGTGTGCCATAGCTGGCTGGATGAAATGCATGAAGTGTGATTAAAACTGGTGCTTTTTGCGAAGTGCTTTCAGTTCAAGAAATTGGCAGTTGCTGACAAAACTGCTTTGCTTCAGAAATTTTCCAGCCAGGCACAAGCTTGTCATGTGTGTTTGTACAGAGAGAGACTTCGGCTTTGTCTGTCCTCTCATTTAAGCTCTCCTTTGGGAGGGTGGGAGTTCTAACCTGTGCTCCAGCTTTGTGAATAGATGATAATAGTCATTGTTGATAAAATTATTTAAATTGCAACCTTGTATTAAAATTACTATAATGCAGACGTTCAGGGGATTTGACCACCAGATAGGCTTTACAGCGAAGAACTCGTCGCTAAAACATGGACGTAATGAGGTAGCATTGTTCCTGATAAAATGTATTAACAGCTTTTGTTGCAAAGCTGAGACAATACAGTCCTTAACTAAGAAAGAAAAGAAAAGTAACACACAACAGCAGCTGCATTTGCCATGGGGAGACCCAACCAGACAAGATGGGCAAAGATGTTACTCTTGGTCTTAGTCAAATCTTGTTTAAAATCTGTTATTGGAAAATCCATTTAATGAATATGGGAATTTTTAGCATGTCACTTTGCTTTTATATGATGCTACAGTTAAGAGAAGTAGTAACCAAGTCTTTGTAGCTACATTCATTAATAGCTGATGATTTTTCATAAGCTTTGCCCAGCAAATTTCCTGCAATTATTTTGTATTTCTGAGGGAAAAAAAGGTCTTATAACATGGGATCGTCTACACTATGCTCTTTTGATCACCATTTACATGCCTTTATTAAATGTTTCTCTAATCTGTGACCTTGGGGCTTGTTGATATCTCACGTAGACTATAGGAACACTCTGTGCCTGTGTCTCTCTGGGCATGCCTGTAAATTACAAGAGGATAGTTCATCAAGAGTACTGCCCTCTGGTGGAATTAAAATACAGACTTGGCTAACCCAATAAATCAAACTCTAGGCAAAAGTATGCAGATCATGTGAAAAAAAAAATCAATCTTAATCTGTTATCCATACGGTGTGATAGAAGAGCTCTTCTAACCTGCATGCTGAGGCTGATCTTTAAAATTGAAATAGTGCTCCATTTAAAAAAAAAAAACTGCAAGTCAGATGCTTCTCTCTTAATGCAGATAGAAAATGTGCTGTTGAAATGGCAGAACTGGAGACTGTTGGTTATGGTACGTGTGGTAGCAAGCACTATTAAGTCACTGTATTGTGTTATCTTTCTGTTCAGTTTATCTGTTAAGCTCAGTATAAACTTGTTGCTGCAGTTTATCCAAAAAATGTTGCTCAAACTGGAATCTGTCTCACCTGAGATTATGTAGAAGTTATATATCAAGTCTAAGATGGTCATCTTTTTTTCTTTTCATTCATAAGAGAGACAAAAGCATGAAGAGTAAGTGTCCCAGTCTTAAGAAAACTAAGGTGTTGAGTTGAGTTTGCTTCTGTAAGTGCTTGTCTTCCTCCATAGGATAATTGTCTAGATAGTCCTATAGACATACTTTTAGTCAGATGCAATGAACTCCATCCTTAGTTCACAGAATCACAGAATAATTTAGCATGGAGGAGAACTTCAGAGGTTATCTGGTCCAACTCTCCGCTGAAAGCAGGGCCAGCTTTGAAGTTAGATACAACTCCAGGGCTGGATCGGGTTACTCAGGGCTATGAATCAGATCTTAAAAAATGGAGATCCCACAGCCTCTCTGGGCAGCCTGATCCAATGTTTGACCACCCTTGTCAAATTATTTTTCCTAATATCTTACCTAATTGAAATTTGCTGTGCTGCAACTCCCATCTGTTGCCAGTTCAGAAGAAAAATGGGGTTTGAGCCAAAAGAAACTTTGGTGAGAAAAGTTGAATAGACTGGATTTTTAGAAATACTCATAGAAAAATTGGTTTCAAGGAGAAAGAAAAATCTGGAAATTAGTTTGCATGTTCAGTTGTAATGTAGTTGTTGTTTTATATGGAAGAGTTGGCTCTCACAGCATGTGGCCCACTGGGGAAGAAGAATGTGTGTAGATATGTATGCATTGGAGGGATAGGCTCACTTAGAAGATCATACTCTTGTATAAAATAGACCAACCTCCAAAACGAAGAATGGTACTGCCAACATTAGCTGCTATATTTAGTTCAATTTATTAATGTATTATGTGATTTATATATAATGTAATTGTGGTATTCACTCCTTACATGCTTTAGGTTTATATACAGGTTTTGGTGCCTGAGTCATCCGTCTGCAAGCTATAGCATATCCTCTGTCAAGTGTGATGTGTGGGGGGAAGTAATGCATATTGATTAGTAAGCTTTGCATTGTTATTTCCATCTTTAGTTTCTTCTTAATATAAATAGCCTTATAAATAATCTTATTTACATAAATAGTTTCCTCTTACATTAAAAAAAAAATTACTGCTAATACTATCTTACTAGTTGACTTCTTATGGTACCTTTTTCCACAGTTTGAACTTTGTTATGTTTTATTTGTAAACATTCGTTGATTTTGTATTATATCTCATTCTTTTATCTTCTATTTTTTTCATTTACTGTGGTAAACTGGGTGTTTTGTCTTATGCAGTATTTGTTGTAGACTCTGCTTTTTAAGTCGTTTTAAATTATTTTAAGCCCAGCATTTTTTATTCTATAATTGTTTTCAAGTTTGACTGAAAGTTTTTCTGTGTATCACATTGTTTACACTTTTAAAAACACAGAAACAAAGCCAAAGTGCCCCTTTCTTTGATTTTGATTGCATTTTAAAAAATTAATTTCATTTATTATTTGCCATTTTTGATTAAGTGTAAGATTTACTCATCTATCAATTCCAGTTCAGTTTTTCATATTAGCCTACATTTATTTTCTTCCCCTGAGGCCTTTATCTTCCTTCTTCCATTTGTTCTCTGCATTAATAATGCCTAGAGTTGAGATGAAACAGAATACAGATTGAGTGTGGCTGAGTGCAAAGTTCTCAATAAAGTTTTGAGCTCTCTTCTGATATATTGTAAGCTTAAGTCAGCAATACTATACATTGATATTTTGTAAGACATATTTTTCAGAAGTTTGCTACATGAGTGTATGGATTTTTCCCTTTCAAATACTGGGAATTCTGGGAAGATGTGATGCCCAGACAAGAGCTTAACTTGGAGTTCTCAGCTTGCTTTCCTCTAATCTGCTCAGAAGCAACTTAACAACAAGGATTTCCCTTAAACGGGGTTGGGGAGCACTCCTACACACCTTGCCTAGCTTTTTGAAGTCAAAAGGGATTAATGAGTTTAGAACAGCTCAGTAACAGAAAGATGAACCCTGAAGTGAGCTACTTCAGACAAATAGAATAGCACTGGTACTAACACTAATCCTGATACCACAAAAAGGAAGGGATTGAATGGTGATATGAATTACAGAAAGTAACCCAAAGTTCTGTCATTGTCATGTTAAAAATGAAAATGATGAATTTTTTTCTTGCATGCTAACTGCTAAAGTAAAGCATCCTATGACACTGGGCAATAGGACAGAGTAGTAACACCAGTGCATAATAATAAGAGCTGTAGTTCTTGAAGATCATTCACCTGCAGGAAAAGAAACCTAAGATAAAAAGAGATGAAGGGAAGTGATCAAGCTCTTGGGTATTCCTGAAAAAATAGAGGGGTAAACTCTTGAATTCTACCTTGTTATTTTACCAGGATT